ACTATAACAGTTACAAATATAACTTATTCTCTGAAATCCATAAATAAAATGTGCAACTTTGTTATTCTTATAAACTTACTTCATTATTTCAACATATAACAATAACAAATGAACTATACAATCGTGTACGGAGCGTGCCACTTGTCACCATCCTAGTTATAAGCAATTTACTTACAACCCCAATTAATCAACAATACCTACATTGAATAATCCCATCTTTCTCGCGAATAAAAAATCAAACCCTAGACAACTTACAGCACACACACACACAAAAATATACTGTATAATTTTAGGTAAACACTTAGGTGATGGTACAATCTCTAATTAAAATATAACACCGCCTCCATTAAACATATTCCACCAATTTATATGCATACAATAACTACTTATGAATCGATCCTCCCTACAAAAGATACAACTGATTAAAACAATCTCTGCGAAACAGATCTCAAGCATTTCTGGTTATTTTCAAGGTTGAAAGTATTAATGGGCATCATAAGAAAAGCGAGACGTTCCGTCGGCTCGTAACATAGTGGTTTTACTATGCGTATTCACGACGACCGTTAATAAACGTAAACCAACAGAAAGGCTAAGTGCTGATGGTATTAAGTGAGAGAGAGTTAATGTCTAATATCTCTAGTGAACATGGAGAGCATTTTACATTCCAAAGTGCAAACATAACGATTTATTGTTTGCTTGCTTAGCACGTCGAAGAAGTAATTCAACCTCCACATAACACATTCTGCCTAAGTAAGATTCACATTGAGTGGTACGGATTTCTTTATATTCGACTGTTATCACTATAGTTCACTGAACCGGAAGCTAACTCCGAAGCCATTTAGGAATTTCGGTAGTCTATGGCAATGATGAATTATTGTATTCCGCGCCTTAACTGTCTGTTGAACTAAGGAAAACATAAAGAGTTCAACATGACCCAAACGGTATGTTAATAGCTCTACGCTCATTGGGTTATGCTTTCCTGGAATACGTAGAGTCGGGATTTTGTCCAGAGATGGCTAATATAAATATGGTTCGTATAATCATTGTTAATCACGCAGGCCATAATGAAGCTGTAACTTATGGCCAAACAGACTATCACACTTCTCCTTCAACTGAAAAAAAGTCCAAGTAGCATCTTTCTTGTATAAGGTTTATTTCTTTCCTTCTCGTTATTGAACTTCTGTTACATATGGCATATAGAGACCGCTGTTTATCTTGTATCACGTTTAAACTGGCTTGATAGCTTGGCATACAATTGTACACATTGTTAGAAAGCTTCGCCTATGTTTGTAATACGGCTGATATCTGATTCCCAACAAAATCTTTAGTCGCTTTTCGTTGGTCAAAATCCGAGTTGTGCTATCACAAGTTATCGTTTCTTATGATTAGTAATACAGCTTACGGATGACCATAAAGTCAGCAGAACATTGTTTATTTGCATTGTACAATTAGTATAAAAGAGCCTGACAAGAGGTAATCGCTCATAATTATTATTTTTATTCTTGTATTGGTCAATATGAAAATATTTGGCAAAAAACGCAGAGCTGAACCAAACGTGATTCACACATGTCGTATTGCGACTGTCATCTTTATTCTTGGCTCATTATGTGTGTACTTGTACAATACATTATCGATGATACTACTGTCATGACTACAAAATTGAAATATGTAGAAAGTCTACCGCTTCCGGATTTTATTATTACTTCTAATTTTAACTTTACTATAAGTTGTTATCTTTTTTCTGTGAGTAAGTATGCAAATATACGTTATCTTCGAACAGCTTACTTATTTATTATTTTGGTTTTCATCTGTTAATACAAAACATAGGTTATTAACAGCAATTTTATTTATTTATCAGCTGATTATCTACTAGGAATTGTTATGTCGAAAACCTGTAATAATTACATCTCAGAATCATTCTCGGCTAAATACACTTCGAGAACATTTAACGCTCCGCATTATTTACACGCAGCATATTACTCAGGAGAACTTAGTTACAAAGTGGAGAGTAAAGTAATGGTTAACATACGCATTACTGATACGAGTTTCAATCCCAACACGACTTCTCCCCAAATGACCCTCTTATTAGCAGACATTGGTAATACAGTAGCTTTGGGTTGTTCGTATTATTACATTGGCTAATCATAAATTTTTTTGCCAAAACAAGAATCCGACAACCAGCTTGGCATGGCTCTTGATTTTAATGGCTCGAGCTACAATGGTTTTAATCAAACTTTTACCAATTTTTTGGAAACACCAGCCATGCATGTAATTTTTTATCGCCAACAAAATTATGTATCTTACTTGCTAAAAGAGAGGGATATGATCAGTCCCAATGCATTTGCTTACTTTGGTTTTCCGCAAAAAACTACTCAGTCTTATGTGACTTCAACATTAAGTAAGCAAAGCCATCAAATTACAAACAGGCAAATTTTTTTCTATAACATTCTAATGTATTGGTAATTACAGCCAGTGGTCCATTGGCTCCAAATGACGATCCCAATATATTTGGATCTATATACATACAACCTGCCAGCTTTGTTATCAGAACAGAGACACAGCAAATGTAAATAATTGACTAGATACTTTGTTTGTAAATTAACAAATATTCTAACGATTGTACATCTGTTTGCTAAAATGTAGGACACGCACGGTAATCGATATCTTTTACTGCTGATAAATTTTTCGAAAAAACTTTTGTGCGTTTATCTGACTTATACATTTAAACTAATAACAATAGATCTTTAACGCACTCGGTTTACTTGGTGGCGCATGGAGCGTCGGCATCGGATTGTACGCCTTTCTATACGGTAATGCATCAATACATAATTTATAAAATATTCAGTCATACCCAAATAAATTATTATATTATTAATCCACGAATTCTATTTACCTTGTAGGTAGTGACATCCTAAATCCATGGGGTTGCGTCCACTCATACTGTTGTTATTATGCTCGAAAAAGCCGTTTGCAAGTTCGCGAATCATTCTCAGCAATGTTACTGCAATCTCCCAGATCTTTGGTTAGGCCATCACCGGACTTATCGGCGCCAAATAATTTGTATCACGCATTGGAGCAACGACTAGACACTCTGGAATTGTTTTTGAAGGAATGTGTGGTCGACCAAACTTACTTGGAAAATTTAAACGATGGTAAAAATTCGAATAAATGGAATAAGTTATTAGAAAAGTGGTCTTGGAGAAAGAAAAATAAAATTAACACTACTAGTAATGTCGACAATAGCTCGTCACCGAGTCTTCTAACGCTGCAAGTACCTTAACAGCGTATTTAGGTATCGAAATTATATATGATGCATGTATCTAACTGTACAAGAAACGTGGGTGTTTAATTACAATAACATAATATTGTAAGCATTAAAGCATACAATAATAATGATATACTGTATATTATAAAAACATTTTAATTTTAATAATAACGTCTGTTCTATTATAATTAGCTGTAATGTCGTATATGATAACTGCTAAGGTCACTAATGCGTGGTTAAACAAATTCATAGATTTTGAAAATTGAATGTTCTGCGCAATTGGGTGATTCAGTGTACGACATAAAATAATAGTTATCATCAGCTATAAAAATAAAATTTCGTAAGCAAAAGTTATTCGAACCAAACAACAAATGCCTGCGGTTCCAATACAACAGAACCGACATGTTTAAGTTGCATTATGCCTTGTTGATATTTAATATCGGTATCTAACTACAGTGACACCTCTATAAGTGCACGCTCTCAGGACTTGACATTTAGGGAGGGTGTGCACTTACAGAACAATGAATAGAAAACCAGAAAACTGTTACACAGAATACTTCCTCTTTATTATCTTATTTCAAAATTATCACATCGACACACACACACTTTAGTTTGACGCTTTTCTGACTTCAGCAAACTTCTCATTATTTTGTAAAGAAGTTGTATATTTTTCCGCATTGTCCTGTTGTAAAAGAAAGGCACGTACTATTTTCAGCCAGCGATTGCTGTGCTAGCGCTAATAACAGGACTTTCCTTACTATTATCTATGTCGTCTAAATCCTTAATTACTTGATCAGTATCCTTAACATTGAAGAGACGTGGTCGGTGTCGGGAACTTCATAAATAAGGAATGTCGAGCAACCATTTACGACAATTATTGATTGTATTATTGTGGCGTTTATGTCATCTTTGCTTAATTTGGAAAATGTGATTAAAAGTTTACTCTTTTAGCAAATATTTTATGTCAATGTATTTCACAATACAGTTTTGTAAGCACGAGTATATTTACTAGTAATACTAATAAGTAAACTAATGTCACTATTGCATTGAAATCACGGCGATTAATTAGCTGACCTTTTTTTTTAATGTCACGTGAGTGCACTTATGGAAGTTATACAATTATATCTGGGTGTACGGTGCAGCGATATTTAAATCAATAAATACAACAACTCAACTTTCTACTGTACTAATAATGCTTATATTATACCCAAATATTTATTATTATAAAGCATGATATGATTAATAACACGTGCATTTAAATTTTAAGGAAAGGTGTTACTGGTCTTGAATGTAACACATGTATTTGGTGACTACAAAGGGGAATTTTTCATATTGTGCAATAGTAACGGGGATAATTGCGTGTAGTATTATCATCATCAATAATAGTTAAAGCAATAAATGTGACAGATTAAAACGAAGTCGGATTAAACCGAAATTTTTTCTATTTTAATATGAAAATTTTAAATTTTTTGGGGCACTTTTTTTGGGATTTGGGATGGAATTTAGGGTAACTTTTGTTAATATGTGGGTTTCAGAGGCATTAAAAGAGGATTCAAAAAGACCCCCCCCCAAATTTCGTTTTAATCTGCCACAATAAATAATCAACTTGTGCTGTATAAATTTGTTGTGTGTGAGAACACAATTATTGCAAAGTTTTTCGTTGGTCAGAAGAAAGTTTCCGCCCCTTTTTTGTGGCTTGTCTGGGACATAAAGAATGATTGGACATGGACGTAGATCATTCTAGAATCGATTTCCAGAATAAAAATCCCTGACTGCAATCAGCCGGTTTGTATTTTTAAGAAAGATGGATGAGATAATTGATAGAACCACCCAATTGTCTGTCAATTCTAATAATAACCATATGGGACGCAATAACCCTTCTTTGGATAATCTGCATAATGAGAATGGAGTCTTACAAGGAAATGGAGCTTCAAGACCAGAAGAAATATCTTTCCAGAATGCTAATTATCTTGGCAGACAAAATTGCGATGGAATCGAATGTGTTGGACCCAACGACAGTAAATGTAACAGTACCAATGAAGGAAGGGAAGATCATAAAGTTTATGTTCGGGGTGTCAGTTCGCAGTGGAATACAAACAGGAACAATAACAAACAAAATGGTGTACAAAAACAACAAATCAATAGCAATGGCGAGGGGAAATATACCGATATTACAATGGTGCCATTTGAATGTTGCCCAAACCAGAAGAGAATCCGATCATTGCAACTATCCTTGGGGCAACTGCGCCGAACCGGTGTCTTGGCGGGCAATGCATGGACAAAAGAGAAGCCAAAGACACCGTGTCATCTTGTGGTCCCGAACGTTCAATCTACTGAAGCAAGAATTCCGGAGGATGAATCTCAAGAAGGTTGCAAGATTCTGGAAAATCCATTTATGTTAGTCGAAACGATTGCAAATAAAAAAGATCGTAAACGCGTTGCAAATTATCTTAACCGTAAGCTTGAAGTTCTGGGGGATCCTTCTACTTGTATATGTTATATGCAAATCATTAAAGAGCATGGTTTTGATCATATCATTACCATTGGGGAAAGTCACGTTGGAATTCTTTTCCTGGACTGTTATGGTCGTGTGTTCGAATGGTCCTCAATGTGTGATGTTTTATGGCCACTTGGGGATTATGAGAATGATGCGACAAAGGAGTCTTGGAATGGGCGGCATGTAATATGGGGTTTAGAGTTTGATGCGACAAAGGAGTCTTGGAATGGGCGGCATGTAATATGGGGTTTAGAGTTTGATGGGACTCTTGTTGAATTTGAGGACGTTAAGGATGGTATGTCGAGATTTTATTCATTCTCTTTTTTATCTCAAATTTTACAATTAATTTCTTTTCTCCTAGATTCACCAAATGAACTAACTTTTGATAAACCCACTACAAAAATGATTGATACTCACCCTGTTGCAAAGAAGAAAAAGAAAAAGAAACCGAAAAAGAAACAACATTGATCTGGTTTCTATGTTGTATTATTCTCAATTTCGATTTATGTTTGCTATTAATATTACCCGCGTAAACAAATAATTAGTGGGAGTGAATATACATAGCATAAGACAAATTTCTGTAATTTGCAGGCATAAATAATAAAGCAGATGGTTTGATAGCAAAGAAAGTGCTAGAAGTTTAGACAATAAGCTCTACTCAATCATTTATATCGTTTAATTAGCCGGCCTCTTATTCTCAATATATCTAATTTTTTTTAAAAATAGCTTGACTAGTCAAGTTCGAAGAAATAATAATTTGACCTTCTTAATTATCTGTATGCGTGTATTTTATCGAACTCATAAGTCGCTGCACGTTTGATAAGTCGTATTTTTTGGATTCGTTTTAGCCCTATACTGGGGTGCGATCACTTTCGATAGTAAAAACACACAAACTTCAACCTCAATAATCCTTTGTTGTTAGTAACAACACAGAAAATCAGGGTCCAACCCATGTGTGACCAATAAAGGACTCGAAAACTCAACCTCAATAACTTTTGAACGAAACAAGCTATTCTCATAAAGACTATACCAATACATATTCCAACGCCTACCCTATAAAAAAATAGTTGATTTTGATATAAAAAAGTGAGGAAATATTCCTCAAAAATAGTTTTACATATAAAAACCCATCATTTTGTCAAGGAAAATGAAAAAGTGTCTCTATTTTCTTGTAAAGCAGCTTTTTGTGTATGCAGAAATGCAGACTTTAGGAGCATAACTTGCTTCGTTCAAAGTTATCGAGGCTTGAAGTTTGTATATTTTCACTATCGAAAAGTGATCGACAAAATGATCAGTAACGTTAAAAAAAAGCTTCTTACTTTTTGTTACTAGCAAGAATTAGTGAAATTAGACACTTATCAGGGAGTAACATGAAATACTGTGCTTTACAATAAGAATATATACAGTGAACTTGGAAGCGTGCATCTACAGAGGGTGTGCGCATTTAGAGAGAATAAGAATTTGATTGGTTGCACGTGAAATTAGGAAATAATTAAATATCATTAGTTAGGTTAAAAAATTGATCCATTGTAGTCTTTGCCTTTCTTAAATTAATATATTTGTCAAGAGCTTTGATGTTTAAATAGTTCCTCAGCATCGTTTTGTTGTTATGGAAATTATAAACTATTTCTAAAGCATATGGCGTCTCATTAGTTGCGGAGCAACTGCGTATCCATGGCCCCTAAAAGAATTACAATAGATAATAGATTAAGTTTTATCACAATTATAGGCGATATGTCAGTTATTTTTTATTAATCAAATGACATCACTTTAATATACTTACATATGACTAGTGGCAATGCAATGCTCTAATTATTTCTCTCATTATCGGCAAGCCAGGCTGAGAGCTTGACTTCAAGCGTGTCATTTCCCTTTTCAATTAGGCCTTGTTACTGAGGATGTCTTGGGTGACCATTTATGATTATGGTGCCCGGCCACATACTGACAATTTCGTGAATTATAGTAGCAACAGATTCTTTTCCGTTATCAGATTGTAAAATGGTGGGTGCGCCAAATTGAGTAAAAATGTGGGGAAAAAATTCTGCGACGTAAATAGTTTCTTTATTCCTTAATGCAGTTGCCCACGAATATCGTGTAAAGTGGTTCCTGGCGTGCGCATCCATTTATATTCTTCATCAGGCGGCTTCTCATGTCAATTAAGTCGATCTATGAATTATTAATAATACTTTAATCATAAAATGTCAGACTGTTTTATTCTATATACGATGACGATCTACCTGTACGCGGACCATGAAATATGTGCTACACGCATTAACAAACCAACTTACAAGCTCTCGTGGAACAAAGCCGTTGCCATATCTAAATGTATAACAGTTGGAAAAATAAATCTTGTTCTCTCACTTACTGTATATTACAATAATTACATAATATTCATTATAATTTTTATGTTTACCGCACATATATTTTTCTGTAGTCATCATGTTGTATGTTGACGTAATAATTTCCAATTATGTCGTATAACTCTTCTTGGATACATATGGGTTTTTTTAGTTTTTGTTCAAGGTATCACCGATAGCCATAGTATTGAACCGCTTTCTTGCCCAATGTTTAAATTGAGTATCGGCTGGTTTATTTTCTGTATCGGTAAGAACATTTACTAATTTTCTCTCGAAATGAGTGATTTGGTATATTTTCTTTTTGACAAGTAATTGGTCATTAACTCGGCAAATTTCTCTTTGCTAAGGAAAGTAAAGTTGTTCCCTGACATGATTGTTTGGTTGTTTATTTGTGTCAATCGGTTAACAGGACCTACAGTATATATAATTAAATATTATGTTGATCGGCAACTAATCGTAAAAATGAATTTCGCATTCGATTGTTGCGTAAACATTAACTCGTCAGAAAAAGTATGAAAGCAATTGGCGAAATAAAGTAATTAGAAAGGATCAAATGTAATAAAAAACAAATATGGGTGACATAACCGAAGTCAAAACCAGTCAAAAGAAATACAAAATACAAATTCTGGCGTTAAGCTCTCAAAGGCATAAGCTAACAGATTAGCTGAATACACTATGAACCAACGTAGTAAGTTGGTGTTCTTTCTATGCAATCGATATATTTATGAAATTGATGGATGCGGCGGACAAATTTATTCATTCCTAGTAGAACATTTGACGAATAGACACTGAGAAAATGAAGTAAAGCTAGACAGATAAGGATATGCGACATACTTTGTTTATATAGTGGAAAGTAAACGCATATTTAACATTAATGGACAAAGGTTTCTGGATTTTTTGGTTTCTTTTTCAGTCGCTAAATTTCCCTTGGAAATGCGAGGATTCAAGTAACTACAATCAATCATTCCAACAAAATTTATGTTCATAAAAAAGGTTATCAAATTATGCAGTATCAATCGAAACATTGCGTTTTATCGTAAGGCAACCAACCAGCTAATGAATTGTCTCAACTCAAATATGTATTATCAGTCAATTGTAACAGAACATTACGTCAATCGTAAGACAACCATTTAATTAATTGCTTTAACAATCAGTTTTGCATCTACTCTTCAACAGTCTGCATGTCAAATATTCCCAAACTGCATAATGGGCTTGTAGATATTGAATTGATATTGGCCGCCGATTTGTGCAAATGCTACATGCATGAACAAATACCACTAATTTTCTGGGAATGTAACTGTATTGGAATTTAAATCTTTTTGTAGTCAGCATGTTATTATTAGAACAGATTACATCGTACATATTCTCTAACACACTCGAGTTTTTTATCCTTTCTGAGTAATATACTTTACTTTATCAATATTAACACGAAGGTTGGCAATACTGTATCTGAACTGATAAGAATTTCAATTGCTTGGTTTACAATTTCTCGAGCTTTTGCGCAATAATCAGGTGACATCATCAAATTTGGCACGAGAGATGAAGCTAAAGTAATTATTAGACATGTTTGTTTAGTATTGTCAATCTTGACGATGCTGAGTTAAGGCCCTTATTTATTATAATATAACTTTAGAGAACAAATTATCAATACAGCATCGTTGATATTCTTTTATTTTTTGAATAATGGCATAATTTTATCATACGATTTTAGAACCCTACTCTTTGAAAGCATGGGTTGCCTCCTTATCTTACGATCGTCGTGCACATTTATGTGACGGGAGAGAGTATCGTTGTATGTCAGTTTGGAATTTACAGTATGCCCATTCGGAATAGACATGTCAGATTGGAATAGTAAAGACAATCAGGTAACAGCATTATAAAATTATTTTATTGAAATTACGATATCAACCCTACTTGCGTATAAACAACTGGTTTTTTGTTATAAATATATTATTTAACGTCTGTAAATTTTAGCATAAAGAATAGATAATCTATATAAGCGAGCGCAAGTAACTTGTGGTATTACTACTTGTATTACATCTTCATATTATATTGTTTGTATATGCTTGAATGATACAATAATAATTACACGTAACACTTACTGCACTGTCGATTATGAGGGTGGCAGTTTAAGTTACAAATGACTGCAGCGCATCGAGCTGTCGAGCAGCTGGTCTTCCAACTACATCTAATCTTGACTAAGCTTTGAGCTGAAGCAGCTTTATGTAATGTTACACTTCTATTAAGTATGTTGTCCATAATGAATACCTCAATTATTTCAAGATTAGCGTTGAATATTTGATGCTGAGTATAAAGCTCGCGCTTTAACTATATTATATGAAGCATTAAGACTTCGTAATTCTCGTCGAAGCCGAGAGGACTTCACATTGATGGTTTTTTCTGAATTCGGCAAAGCCTTTTCTAGAGTTGTAAGATTTACTACTTTCCCACGGCCACTTTTTTGAGCAGGAATCAATATGCTTTATCTGTTCATCGCTGAATTTGAAACCAGCCCAAAGGCGTCTTTGTGCTTGATCCCTCTTTCTATCATCCGTAAATTTGTTAAGCAACTCAGAAGTATACCGACTGGGTTCAGATATGCTCATCTCTGGAATAAGATTGTATTTTTGACGATTTTTGTTGTGACGGCTGACATTGTATCGATTTCGGTTATACTCACTTGTTAGGTTATATACTATGAAAAATATTTTTTCAATTCGAAAATAATTATTCATCAATTGGCTCTTGGTCGTGTTATTATTTTTATTCAATTTATGTGTGACTAGTATAAATGACAAAAAAATCCCTTTTGTCAAATTATCATTCCTTTTATTAATATGTACTACCCCTACATGGTCTGATCGACGTGTATTGTGCGCCATACATTTCCTTGTTTATTTACAATGCACGTGGAAACCTCCCATTCACGTAGATATATTTCTTCATTTATCAACCGCTCGCGTCTGGACATATCCATTAGTTCTTCTGGCTCTGCATCGGACATCATTCTATCTCGGTATATCCTTGATAAATCTCTATCTTTCTCAGTTATCGTTATGAATACATCTGGATCTTCACTGTGATCAATGACCTATCGTCTTAATATTAAACGTTCTTCCCGCTTCTCACGGGGTATGTATCCTGGTGGTAGTGATATCTGTTGGGATGTATTTTTTTTATTGCAAGCTATACTGTATTGATAAAATGTCGTTTACAGATAAGCTATTTTTTAATGGTAACGTGTGTTACATTAAATTCGATTTCTTTTGCAGAACAGAATACTTCAT